GTTATCCATCATATCCAGCTCTGGTAGGCCTATGGTTTCTCTTGTCCTTACCCCTGCTTTCCAGCCCTAGGACTTGGAATCATAAAGTGTAGCCTTGCCCTTTCCCTGCCAACTTACAGAGCACAGGGCTCCTTAGCAGGTTGACTGTTAGACAGATGTAGCCTGAGTACCCCAGAGAGATCCCAGTCAGTTTTCCATCTCTCCCTATCTTTTCTCTTGCCCCCAGGCTCTGAAATAATACAGCAAGGTCAACACTATGGCCCCAGTAACATATTCTTCAAATTCTTAGGTAGTGCTAGCTTTGGGGAGGAAGTGACCTAAACCAAACTGGGCTTGTATTATACTCTCAGATCATTGATCCAAAGATGCCCCGAGAAGGTATGTTCCATCATGGGGTTCCCATCCCTGTACCACCATTGGAGGTTCTAAAACTTGGGGAACAGATGACACAGGAAGCCCGAGAGCATCTCTACCTCGTTCTCTTCTTTGACAACAAACGAACCTGGTAAGGAAACAGGGGTGCATTTGGTGTGACTTAAAGCCACAGATATAAATACAACCATCTGTGATGTGGGGGCAGATTGTCAAGAGACTCAGCAACAGATTATTAAAAGTATTGGGCAGGGGGCACACTTAGAATAGCTCTAAGCAAAAGGGTGTGTTTGTCCTGAGCCTGATGGGCTGAGTGGGCAATAGCTGGCAAACAAGCTGTAACTAGAAGCTAAAGGACCATCAGTGACTGGCAAAGTTAGGGTGGCCCCCTGCTCATGCTCAGATGACTTCTAGACTTATTGTTCCCACTTCTTTATAGTAACAAGATGGGGAAAAAGCACACATAAACATTTTGGCTTTATACTCAGAAGGCAGAGGCAGGCAGATCTCTGAGTTCGAGGCCAGCCTAGTCTACAGAGTGAGTTCCAGGATAGCCAGGGCTACAGAGAGAAAACATGTCTCAAAAGACAAAAACAAAATTTTCGATTTTAGATCTCTCTTGTCAAATTTTTGTTAATTGCCTGCAGATAGTCTCCCTGAAACAGCTGGGACAGGATACCTCTTGAGACTTTTTGCACCCATAAAGTGCCCTGTAGAATTATACACTGTAGAATTAATATGTCTTCCCAGTGAGAAATCACTCCTCACACTTAAGAAATGAATAAAGGAAAATCTCTTTAACAATAGCATGCAACTGGTTCTGGCTCATGCACAAAAGGGAACCAGCTTCAAACAGAATATTTTACCAGCTTAAATAGGCTTTAGATTTATAACATTCCACATACGCTGTTATCCTTAAATCTCTTCCAAGTCATGACCCCACCCAGGTTACACTTTCAACAATTTAAAAAGAGGTAGGAGACTACAAGTCTGGCCACTTGGGCAAATGGGAGATTTATACAACAAAAAATTACCATAATTATTTAAGTACACCAATGTTGTTCTTTTCTGGATAGTTCCAACCCAGAGTCATCTTGCCTACTTGGCAGAATTATGCTTTTCCTGATAACAGGTTCACTTAATGGCACACCAGACATTAATGGTGGCTGTCACTTGCACTGCCACCTTACGATGCCCCTTAGAGGAATGTTCTTTGATATGGGAATGGGCCTAATGGCTGATTTTGCATCATTGTTGCCTCATTTTGTTCTGGAAATGGAGATTAATCTTGAGGAACCAACATTACCAGAAACATTTTCTCAGCAACTCTAGACTGCCATAATGGTATAAGAGTTTCCCTCTGAGACAGGGTTTCTCGGTAGCCAGGGATCCTGTCCTGGAACTTGCTTTCTAGACCAGCCTGGCCTTGAACTCACAGAGATCCGCGTGCCTCTTCCTCCCGAGTGCTGGGATTAAAGGTGTGCGCCACCACTGCCGGCTTTCCTACAGTTTCTAACGATGTCTGGTTAGTCCACTACTCACCTTCCAGTCAGTCATACTGGAGGCAGAACTAACTCCCTTAGCTAACTTCTACTTTGTGTAACTTAGTATTTCCTAGGCAAGTCTTTTAGTATCCTTTGTAGCATCAGTTTTATTACTTCAGGTTTCTCCCGTGTCAGTTATTCCCCCTACTATAACTGTTGACTGGGCTATTCTTTTCAATACACTACACAGTCCTTTGAGAGCAGAGATGCTGAGAATCAGGCATTTCTAAATGCATAGAGTGTGGAAGAGCTAGTACTTGTTCCCCCTGAAATCCATGCCTTATCTCATCTTCACCTTGTCTGACAGGCAATGGCTGCCCAGGACTAAACTCGTTCCTCTGGGTGTGAACCAGGATCTAGACAAAGAGAAGATGCTGGAGGGCCGCAAGTCCAACATCCGCAAGTCAGTGCAGATCGCCTACCACAGGGCTCTGCAGCACCGCAGCAAGGTGCAGGGTGAGCAGAGCAGCGAGACCAGCGATAGTGACTGATACTGTCAGAGCCCAGCTACAGTGCTCTGTGACCTCTCTCCTTCCCTTTGCTCACTGTCCTGGAGTGATGCCGCCCTCTGCACTGATTCATTCCTGGTCTTGGGGCCAGTCTCAGGGGAAGTTGGGTAGGGGAGGTCCCTCCTGCCCTGAGTGCAGCTGGACTGTACAAAACACTCCAAGGGCCCACGGCCACTCAGTGCAAGGAGAGGAGAGATCCCACAGGTCAAAAAGAGCTCAAGACCTCATGGTGTTGTGGGTCAGGGTGGTGGGAGACGGTTAGAATTACTGCATAAAACAGCCCATAACACCACCCCTACCTGCTTTGCCAGGGGAATTCATAACTGCCTAGAGGCCTGAGGCCCTTGCAGGTGGTAAGGTAAGCCAGCATTATCCCAGCCTAGCAGTGGGACAGATGTCTGTCTAGCCTAGAAGAGGGGCACTAGGTGACCCCTCCCCTGCTGCTGTAAATACTGTAATTATCGGAGAATTTAAATTATTCTCATTTGTAACTGCGTTTCCGGGTCGCGCCAGAGTCATTTGGTACTAAAAAAAGAGAAAAAGAAAAAAAAAAGAATGGAGCTTGTCTCTATGTCCTTTCTTTTTCCCCATAGAATCCTCCCTACCTTTCAAACTGGTTTATATTTATTTCAAAGGAAGAAAATATATTGATTCTTAGAAAATAAAGTCTACTTAGAATTCTTTTTTCTTGCCTTCTACCATGGCAGAAGGATTCAGAGGAAGAGATCATGGTTGGGATGTACTTGAGCTGACTATTGTGTGTGCTAATCATAAGACAACACATCAGCAAGCTAGGTATGGTGGCACAGTCCTGTAATCCCTGGATTTCAGGTGCTGAGGCAGGAGGATTATCATGAGTTCAAGCACGGGCAAAATAACATAACAAGAACCTGTTTTTTAAAAGTTTCTACAACAAAACTGAAAGTATATTTTCTATGCCCTGAGTGTCAGGCACTGACTTAAATACCTACAAATACATAAATTGTTTCTAATCCCTGCAGTAACTATGGGGTGGGCTAATTAATAATAGGCCAGTTACCTCCACAGTGACAGGCCCATATTAAGTAACTGTAGGTACACTGTTGTGTAATCTTCACAGTAATTATGGGGTGGGTTAATAGCAGGTTGGTTATCTCAGATGCTGAGGTTTAGTAAAATGAACTAACTTGCTAAAGTTCTTACAACTAAGAAGTTGCAGAGCTAGGATTTAAACTCAAGATCATTTCTCTGGAAAGCTGGCTCTTCCCCAGAGTCCATTGCTGATTTCCTTTGTGGATTCCTTCAAGTCCTTTATTAGGACCATAGCTTAAGTGCTTCAAACACTACACTTGAGACCGTAATTGGAAACAGTAGGGCTGTACAAGACTGTTCATACACATTCAAACACTTGTTGGAAGGAATGCCTTCTAAGTGCCTGGCACCTGGAAGGTGACATGCCTATAGTTGGGGTTACCAAAGTAAGATGTGGCTGCCCCAGGCCTTGCAGCTACTTAGGAATGAACTGAGACAAAAATTCCCATTTATTTAATGTTGATGCTGAATGTGCTCTAGCGGGTGTGCTGTGCTTTAGTGTACATAGGACACAAAGATAAATCAGCAGCAGACCTTGCCCTCGAATCTGTAGTCCAATAATTTAGGTACAAACACCAAAAATTTCTGTTAAGTGGAAAATGTCCTCGTGTGTCAGGCTAATGTCTCAAGTTCATGTCTCCTAGCCTCCAGCATTTTTTAATATCTTCGAGAAAATTATAAGTGATATAGTCATTTTTGGGTCAAGGTGACGTGCTGGTCCGTTAGGCTGCCTGGGAGCCACATATTGCTACTGGGACTCAGTGAAATCCCGAAGAAAGCCCATACACAGGCCCTATTGCACGCGGCGTGAGGGCAGATTGGGTATACTTAAGGAATGTGCCCTGATTGAAGTGGGTGGCTAGAGCCAAGACTGGCCTCTGAAGCCTGGGAGGAAGGCAGGGATGGCACATTTGGAGCGCATGGCAGGAGATGGAGGGGGACAGCGCTAACAAGAGGATGCTCTGGGATTCACTCACACTGCCTCTGAAGAGAAGAGGCTCGTTGGCGAAAGGCTTGAGCAGGGGAGGATGAGGTAGGTTCTTGTGGTTTGTTTCTTGAGACAGGGTCTCGCCAGGTAGCCCAGCCTACTTCAGCTTCGAACGTGCGGCCATCCTCCCGCCTGCTTCTGCCTACCTAGTGCTGGGACGACGTGAGTGTACCACCACGCCCTGCAAAGATGTGACTCCAGAGCGGGCCAGCCCGAGAAGTCGCAGGCCCTGAGATCACACCGAAAGCCCTGAGATGGCAGAGTCCGGCCGCCGGCGACTAATCGCCCACAGCGAGGCTGGCAAACCAACCGCTAAGGCTCCTCAGACAGGCCCGCCCACTGGGCCACACCCGAGTTCTCATTGGCGCCTCTCACTTTCTCCTCGGATTGGCTACCTCTAGAATCAAATAAGCCGGGGGTTGGATCTACTTCCGGTGACAGTAAACTGGGACCCGGAAGAGCCTCACTGACGCGGCTTTCCAAAACTCTTACGGACGCGCCGGAGGAGGAGGAGGCAGGAGCCGGGAGGCTTTGGGGGCGGGGCCACGTCAGGAGGAAGAGGGGGGGCTTGCTCCAAAGACCTGCAGAGTGGGCAGGGTAGGGGTTTGGTTTCCTGCCGGAGGCCGGCGTACTAGGAGAGGGAGACTCAAACGGGGACTGGCCTTCCACCAGATCCAGAGTCTAGGACCCAAGGTGCTACCCCCTGAGGGGCCGTGGTCACTTGCGAGCGAGGCCTTAGGGCTCTGGAAGGTCGGGTTCTGAGTAGCCGGGCCGTGATGTGCGGGAGGCTGCTATCCGAATGTTATTCGGCTCTTGTCTGCCTGGCAGCATGAGGCATCGCACCCTAATCTCCAGCCCGGGCCTCTGGGCCTCTGTCCCGTGTCCACGCTCCGAGCTGCGACTGGACCTGGTTTTAGCTTCTGGACAGTCCTTCCGGTGAGTGTCTGCGCTTGGGCGGACCCTTCCCTGGGACGCTGACCCCTCCATGCCGCCCACCGGGAATGCAAAGAATGATGAGAGTAAGAATGTTGGGAGTGATGGATGAGGGAGAGCGCACTTTGGAGAGTCAGCACTGGTGGAGAGCTTGTTACCTCCTTAGTGAAGCAGATGTAGTGAGCGTGCAGGGCTATGAGGAGCAGTAAAAGTCAGTGGGGAAGCTGAGGGATGCAGCTCAGTGATGAGTGCTTGATTTTCATGCACAGGGCTCTAGGTTCAGTCCCCAGTACCTTTATTATTATTATTATTATTATTATTATTATTATTATTATTATTATTAAAACATACTCTTTTTTTTTTTGATTTTTCGAGACAGGGTTTCTCTGTAGCTTTTGGAGCCTGCCCTGGAACTAGCTCTTGTAGACCAGGCTGGACCCGAACTCACAGAGATCCTCCTGCCTCTGCCTCCCGAGTGCTGGGATTAAAGGCATGCTCCATTAAAGGCATGCTCCATCACCGTCCGGCGAAAACATACTATTTTTACTTTATAACTAACAAATCGGTTTTTGGGTGGAACATGTGTAAGACAGTAGGGACCTTAAAGAGCCCAAGATGGGTAACTGAGTGCTAGAATTGTCTGCTGGGTCTCAGGTGGAGGGAGCAAAGCCCTGGGCACTGGAGCGGCGTGCTGGCAGATCAAGTATGGACACTGACTCAGACCGAGGAGCAGCTTTATTGCACTGTGTACCGAGAAGACAAGAGCCAGGCCAGCAGGCCCACCCTAGAGGAGCTGGAAGCCTTACACAAGTACTTTCAGCTGGATGTCAGCCTGGCTCAGCTGTATAGCCATTGGGCTTCTGTAGACTCCCACTTCCAAACAGTGGCTCAGAAATTCCAAGGTCAGTACAAGAGGCAGGGATGGTGGCTTTTGTACATTGGTTAACTCACAGCTCTCTAACTTAGCTCGCCCTCTGTAAAATGGAGATACAGGGCCAGTGAGATGGTTCAGCAGATAAAGGCGCTTACCAGGCAAGCCTGATGACCTTGTGTTTAAGCCTAGAACTCACAGTGGAAGGAGAACCCATTTCCAGAAGTTGTCTTCTGACCTCCACGCGGAAGCCAAGGCTCTCAGTATGCCCACACTCATATACTCATGTTGACAACAAATAAATAAAATTTACTTATTAAAGTGATTAGACTGGTGCTTAGTACATTGCTGTTGTTATTATGGTCATGATGATGACCGCCACAGTGAAAGTCTAATCCTGGCTATGTGTCCTGGAGCAGGTGACATCATTCATTCTGTCATTGTATACAAGAGCGCATTTGCTCTTTGGGGCTATAGGGAGGAGGAAAATGGACACAGAGCCCTGCTCCTGTGGTGATGGCATGGTGTCCTTTCTTCCTCAGTGGAATGGGGTCGTCACTCAGACCTCACAAGATGCTACGAGGCACGAGTGGTCTAGCATTGATTTCTCTCCCCCATTCTCCTGCGTCTGATGTGGAGGGATTCCAGGAAGCCAGTCCTTAAACAGATGTGTCTCCTGCCCCTGCCTTTCTGATTTCTAGGTGTGAGATTGCTGAGACAAGACCCCACGGAATGCCTTTTCTCCTTCATCTGTTCCTCCAACAACAACATTGCTCGAATCACTGGCATGGTAGAACGGCTATGCCAGGCCTTTGGACCTCAACTCATTCAGCTTGATGATGTCACTTACCATGGTTTCCCCAGCCTTCAGGCCCTGGCTGGTGAGTAGGTGGGTCCTCCCGAGCACTTGGATAGGGAGACCTGTTCAGTTCTCCCCAAGCGAGCTGCTCCTGTCTCAGAACTTCCCACCATCCCAACACTGTCTCCATCCTGAAATACCAGCGCTTCACCAGTTGGCTGTTTGCCAGTGTATCCAGTACCTCATTAGGGAAACATCTGTACACAATGTTCAGTAGCTTAGGGTTACAGGCATGTGATCTGAGACATACTGCCTAGATCTGAATCCTAACTCTGACCCTTAAAAATGTTGTTTAGCGTGTGTGTGCTTCAGACCCAAATCTGTAAAATGGAAAATAATGTTACATATTCTGTCTGTCAGAATCGTGAGGATTGAATAAAGGGAGATACATCCTGCATCTAGCAGAAAATAAGTGGAAAATTCAAGCTGTTGTCACTAAAGTGAACCCAGCTCACTTGTCCTATAAGGCAAGTGTATTGGTTAGCAGATATGAGGACTAAATTAGATGAAGTGCTTAGGGACTAAGAAGCAAGAAGCCTGCCTGCCTTGGTACATTCTCAAACGGGGTGTCTTTTGGTGCTAAGAAGGGTCTTGGTCTTTGCTGGGAGGTGGTGGTGCACACCTCTAATCCCAGCACTCAGAAGGCAGAGGCAGCTGGATCTCTGAGTTTGGCTTAATTTATTTGTGGATTGGGAATATCAGTTTCTATTTGGAAGGATTTGGGGGTGGATGAATCAATGGTGAGGCGTTGAAAGGAATGAGTTTAAGAACACAGGCACTACTGCCTCCACCAGAGAGATCCTATCTCCACCATGCCCTTTCTTTGTGTTGGGGGAGTGGGGTCAGTAGGTGAGGAAGTAGGTAGTGTTTGCACGTATGAGCATGTATGTGTGCGTGTGCATGAATGCATGTGTCTGTGGAAGTCAGAGATCAATGTCAGGTATTTTTCTCAATTGCTTAGGTTTTTTTTTCTATTTTAAAAATATTTATGTTCTATGTACGAGTGTTTTGCCTGCATGTATACATGTGCACAGTGTGCACATGCCTGGTGCCCACAGATGTCAGTAAAAGGTGTCAGATCCCCTAGAACTGGATTCACTGAAGGTTGTGAGGTAGCATGTGGAAGCTAAGAAGTGTAGCCTGGTTTTCTTCAAGGGCAACAAGTGCTCTTAACTGCTGAGCCAGCTCTCTAGCCTACTTAGCCCCTCTAAGCCCTTATTGTTTTCTCTATAAAATATGCAACATAATGGTGCTGTCCTTAGGATCCTTAAGTAAGCATAATGCGCTTTGCCAGTCAGTGTGTAACACGCAGCCCTTGCTGTTACTATCATTTATTTTGTGAGTGTATGCATGTGCAAGTACACACAACTTTTCAGATGTCAGTTCTTTCTTTTGGGGCAAGTCTCTTGTTTCATTACCGCGCTGCATATCCCAGCTGGCTGGCCTGTGAGCTTCCAGTGGATTCTCCTATCTCTGCCTCCCCTCTCACCTGAGCAGTGCTGAGATTACAGATGTGAACCTCCATCTGGCTTTTTATGTGGGCAAGTCACTAGGCTTATGCAACAATTGGATTTACCTGCTGAGCCATCTACCAAACTTCTGCATCAGGTTTCTAGGCCATGGATGTGAGTGCTTCTTGAATAAAACTGGGCTTCCTCTAGAGCAGGGGTCCTCAGCCCCTGTTTCAGACCCCAACACAGAGGAGGTACCAAGGGAACATTTATGGGGACAGAACTCAGGTTTTAACTGTTTCTTTTCATATCCAACTGTCCACTGACTCATAGAGGACAGTAAATAGGAAAGAAGTGCCTAGAAAAGCACTGGAGTGGGGCCCTATAACAGGAACAAAGTGAGGATACCTGACCCCTCCTTTCCTCTCTGCCCCCACAGGTTCAGAGGCAGAGGCTCACCTCAGAAAGTTGGGCCTAGGGTACCGGGCCCGCTACGTATGTGCCAGCGCCAAAGCTATCCTCAAGGAGAAAGGTGGGCTGGCTTGGCTGCAGCAACTTCAAGCGGCCCCTTATGAAGAGGCCCACAAGGCCCTTTGCACCCTGCCCGGAGTGGGCACCAAGGTGAGGCCCTAGAGAGGTAGGACATGCTCTTTTCACCCACACTGAGAGTCGGAGAGGTGGAAACAAGGCAGACCTGAGTATCCAGGGAAGCCTGGCTCCTGGAGGAAGTGCAGGAAGGATAAAAGAGTAACAAATGTTTAGCAGAGATGAAAGAATGGAGTATAAAAGAGGCTGCCCTTTGGATACACTTTTAGAAAGGCCCTTTGTGTCCGTGCATTTATGTGTACTCCTGTGTGTGTGCAGAGATTTCCACAGGGAAGAACAGGGAAGTTGGTGCTGGTTACTTTGGGAAGACAAATGGAACAATGTCTCTATTTTTCGTTTTTTCTTTTCTTTTTTTTTTTTTTAAGATTTATTTATTTATTATGTATACAACATTTTGCTTCCATGTATACCCACACACCAGAAAAGGGCACCAGACCTCATTACAGATGGTTGTGAGCCATCATATGGTTGCTGGGAATTGAACTCACGACCTCTGGAAGAGCAGTCAGTGCTCTTAACCACTGAGCCATCTCTCCAGCCCCCCGTTTTTTCTTTTCTTGAAATTCCATGTGTTTACAGAATGTTGTGTTGCTATCAGTAGATTTATCTAGCAGACAATTGGAATTTATAACTTACCTTTATTTTTTTTTAAAATGCTTTTATTTATTTATTTTTAAATATTTATTTATTTATTATGTATACAGTATTCTGTCTGCATGTATGCCTGCAGGCCAGAAGAGGGCACCAGACCTCATTACAGATGGTTGTGAGCCACCATGTGCTTGCTGGGACTTGAACTCAGGACCTTTGGAAGAGCAGGCAATGCTCTTAACCTCTGAGCCATCTCTCCAGCCCCCACCTTTATTTTTTTATACTCCTCTGTGACTTAAAATTAATTTTCAGAACTAGATAGATGGCCCAAAGGTTAGGAACACTTGCTGCTCTTCCAAAGGACCCAGTTTGATTCCTAGCACCCATGTCAAGTGGCTTATAAAATGAATTTTTGGTGCTGGCCCCCAAGCCTGACAACCTGAGTTCAGTCCCCGAGACCCACATGGTAAAAGGAGAAAACTGATTCCCGTAGTTGGTCTTAGACCTCCCTCGGATCCCTGCCCCACAAATAGATCAGAATGTACAATTTTTAAATTTTTAAATGGATTTTCACTTAATTTTGAAATAAAAAAGTATTTTTTTTCTGTATTTGTGTATTTTGCCTGTATGTATGTTTGTCTACCACTTGCATGTATGGTTCCAGGAGGCCAGAAGAGGGCGTCAGATCTGGAGTTACAGACAGGTGTAAGCTACCATGTGGGTGTTAAGAATAGAGCCCAGGTCTTCTGAAAGAGCAGTCAGTGTTCTTAACTGCCGAACTATCTATCTCTCCAGCCCCACTGACTTAAAGAATCTTTTTTTTTTTAAAGATTTATTTATTCACTATATATACAGTACTCTGTCTGCATGTACGCCTGCAGGCCAGAAGAGGGCACCAGATCTTGTTACAGATGGTTGTGAGCCACCATGTGGTTGCTGGAAATTGAACTCAGGACCTCTGGAACAGCAGGCAGTGCTCTTAACCTCTGAGCCATCCCTCCAGCTCCGTGACTTAAAGAATTTTTAATGGAGCAGGGCAGTGGTGGTACATAACTTTAATCCCAGCACTTGGGAGACAGAGGCAGGTAAATCTCTTGAGTTCAGGGCCAGCCTGGTTTACAGAGTTTTCTTTCTTTGTTCTCTCTCTCTCTCTCTCTCTCTCTCTCTCTCTCTCTCTCTCTCATGTATACAGTGTTCTATGCCTGCACACCAGAACAGGGCACCAGATCTCACTACAGATGGCTGTGAGCCTCCATGTGGTTGCTGGGAACTGAACTCAGGACATTCCTGTGTAACAGCCTCAATGTCCTGGCTTTGTAGATCCAACTGTCCTCGAACTCACAGAGAGCTCTCTGCCTCTGCCTCTCAAGTGTTGGGATTACAGGCGTGTGGCACCACCACTTGGCTGAGGCTCAGATTTCTTATCTCTGTAAAGAGTATGCTCATACCTTCTCCCCTGGTTATGTGAGCGTATGGCCTACACAGGTGCTCACTTTGGAGCACATCTCCGGGAAGCTATTTTTAGAAGTAATGGGTAATTGCTGCATATTGACTGAACGGGCAGAACAGTACTACCTTGGTGGAAAGAGGAAGCAGATGGCTTTGGATGCTGGCCAGATCCTGCCATTCCTCCACACAACAGTTCTCTCTTTGTCTAAGGTGGCTGACTGCATCTGCTTAATGGCCCTTGACAAACCCCAGGCTGTGCCTGTGGACGTCCATGTATGGCAGATCGCCCAGCGTGACTACGGCTGGCAACCTAACACATCCCAGGCTAAGGGCCCAAGCCCTCTGGCCAACAAAGAACTGGGTGAGGAGAATGTGTGATGCTGGGGCATTGGGCTGAGGTTGGAGAATCTCTGCATTCTTACTCATCGTTCCCATACTCCCCATTTGAGGATGGAGGGCATGTGGATCAATTAATGTAGCCTCCTTAATTGATCCCTAGGAAACTTTTTCCGGAATCTCTGGGGACCTTATGCTGGCTGGGCCCAAGCAGTAAGTATACCTAGCTCAGACCCTAAAGGACTTCTCCCTCAACCGTGCTTGACCACTGGACTCTTCAGCCATCTATTCCCATGACTCCCCCTCCCACCTCCTCCCCAGTTTATTCTCCATTGACCCCAGCCTGACCTCAGCAACCCCTCCTTTCCATAGACTCCTTATGCCCCTTCCCACACCACAGGTGCTGTTCAGTGCTGATCTACGCCAACCAAACCAGGCTCGGAAGCCACCAGCAAAGCTCAGGAAGGGCTCTAAGAGACCGGAAGGCTAGGTAGGACCCAAGGGACAAAAGATGTCATTAGTATCTTTCCCTTTGTTCTCCATTTCTCTCCTCCTTCCCCACCCAGTTTCACACCAAGAAGAGTGACCACTCCTACCTCAGAGGCCAGCACCCCCAAATCAAGCAGTTTTTACAGCAGGGACGAGGGAACTGTTTGAGGAAACAGGACTGTCTTGTTTTATCTTCCCTTTATTACAAGAAGGAACAATAAAATAGAAACATTTGTATGGAAAATGCAGTGAGGAGTGAGAAGGAAGAGGGGTGAGGAGGGATGGGGTAAGAAACTCCCCAGTTCTAGGCTAAGGAGGAAGCAGGCTGCCCCCAACCCCTCCCATGAAAGAAACCCTGACTTCCTTGGTGTTCAGTCCATGGCCCTAGAGCTTGGGGGTGGTGCAGGGGGCAGCTCCGAGCCTGGCTCCACACAGCAGTCTCGGCAGCAACAGCCAGCTGCTGGCCCTGTGTGGAGGAGAGAGCGGAGGTGGCTGTGGAGTGGCTCCAGCTCCAGCCTTACGTTTCTTCATGGACCACCTGTCCCCACCCACAGGACCCTGGTGCTTACCCCCAGCCGTTGGTGTCAGCAGCTCCCCGTGGCTAGCTGTCTGTCCCTGCCCCTCCTGGCTGGTGCCCAGCTGCAGCTTCCTCATGTGCCGAACCACAGCCGTGGCATTGAAAGCTTGCTGTGGAAGAAGAGGAGGGAGGACTGCTGAAAGGTGCCTTGAGAGCGGTGGGTCGGCAGGAGCCTCACATGTTACTCAGTGACTCCCCAAGTCCTCCAAAGAAACCCTATAAGGCCTTACTAAATTATATTCGGTCTTACATACAAGCACATGAATGGTGTGTACAAAGGAATTCATAGTCCTGTAACAAACAATGTAACAATGTGTCAAGCACAGCTCTGAGCACACTGCGTGGTTATTCATTTAATCCTCACAAAGTTCATTTAATCCTCACAAAGGTAGCACTTTTTATTTGGCTTTGGCTTTTTGTTTTTTGTTTGGTTTTGGTTTGGTTTGGTTTATGGTTTTTCGAGAGAGGGTTTCTCTGTAGCTTTGGAGCCTTTCTCAGAACTCCTTCTGTAGACCAGGCTAGCCTCAAACTCACAGAGATCCACCTGTCTCTGCCTTCGTACTACTGGAACTAAAGGTGTGCACCACTATCCCCCAGTCCCAAGTACTGAGATTAAAGGTGTATGCCACTGCACCTGGCTCTGGCTCTGGCAAGCACTATTAATAGCATTGATTTCTTTTATTTTTTTTTTAATGGGTTGTCATGTAGCCCAGGCTGTCTTCCAGTACTGTCTCTATCGCGTGAGTCCTGGGACTATAGGAATGTGCCACCACCGTGCCCACTTTTAATGTGATGCTAATGCTCCCACTCAGGGTTTTGTGCATGCTAGGCAATCACTCTGCCAGCCAAGCTATATACTCACCCCGCCCCCTTTTGAGGCAAGGTTTCACATACCCCAGACTGACCTCACCCTCCCCAAGTGCTGGAATGGCATTAATTCCAAAGGAGAAAACTGAAGTGCAGAAAGGTTGAGTAATTTACATACTTGTTTCTCTCGTTTTATATTCCCTTTATCCACCTAGATGTCCTACATGTCTCTCAAGTTGACCATGTCTAAAACTAAACCTCCTCAAGACATGTTTCTGCTCCTAGGGTCAGTATCGTGGTCCACATTGTCCCCAGCCAGAAGGTTGGGGCAGCCCTTAACATCTCACTCCCTCAGCATGCCTCCCATCTTTCCTTGTGAGTCTACCTCCTGCTATCAACCACCCTGTGTCTGAGTCAAGCCCCACTATCTGCTACATCTCTGATACTATTGGGTCTCCCAGACTTCCCTCCTTGCATTCTCTGCATCCCGAAAGAAGATCCTTCTTCAGGACAGGTTCCCGCTGTCAGTCTTTCTGGGACCATCCTCTATAACATGTGGGGGCTCCACTGTAACATGCAAGGATCTCAGTGACCCCTACCAGCTTCTGCAGCCTGGGCTCTTGATATTTAGTTCTCCTAGTTCCTCCAGCCCCTCTAGTTCAGCAGGCTTGACATTCGGCCACACTCTTACCCAGGCCTCTTTGCACCCCTGGTCCATCTGCCTCAGGCATATTCTCCACACCTGGTTATTACTAGTCAACTAACAGATCTGTGACCACCTCTCTGACCCTTCTTGGGTCCCATGGGCTATGAATCCTGGAGAGTAGGACTGCCCCTCTAGAGATGGACTTTAGAGGTCAGGTGGCCTCTAAAGTCCAGAACAAAGGAGATTCTTTGGAAAGCCTCCCTGGGCATGTCCTGCTTGCATTTGGTACTGGATGCTGTGTAAGTGGAATCTAGGGAGGACCAAGGATTAGGAGTATATGCTAACCTTCCACTTGCTCTTGGCAAAGTTCTTCTTGATCTGCTCGCTCACTGACTGGTGGATATTCTTATCCAGAGCTGTATCTCCTGCAATCCTAGAATGGGAGAATACGTGGATTTGCCTGTGAGGCTGGAGGCAGGCCTGGGGCCCCCAGGTCCCACCCTAACATATCGTTTGGAGCGGGAGCTCTCACCATGGGTGTTGCAAGGCTTGCTCACAAGTGAACCTCTTCTCCGGGTCTTTCTCCATCAAGTGCCGTATGAAATCTTTGGCTGAAGCCCCAACACAAAAGTAAAGATGCAGCTTGACCATGCCCGTGGACACCCCCAAGACAGTGCTCAGTCCCTCTGATCTCACCTGGCAACGAGGCCTACTCTGCTTATGCATCACCTCACACACCCCAGCCTTCTCGCTCCCTCCTTTCTTGAGAACACTACGCTAATGGAAAGCCACTGTGTGGCCATCACAAGCTGGTCCCTAACTGGGACATGAAATGGGAGATGGAAGTGTGCTGTTTAAGCCTCAGGGAAGGCAGCATTAGGGGAGTTATTTTTGCAAATACTATATTTGAAGACTGAATGAATGCCTACAGATCTGTCAAATTAGGGGACAAATAGAGGGAACCTAAGGTAAAACATGATACTAGCTTCTAGTCTGGGACTAGGAGATACGACAGAAGACAGTGGGGAGACCCCTCGAGCAGATGAAGAAGGCAAAAGACCCAATACCAGAGTCAGAGATGTCGTCCCAGTAAGGAGAGTCAAACTCATACTCGGCCTTCAGTATCTGTTCAAAGAGTTTGGCATCGTTTTCATCGTAGAAGGGCGGGTAGCCACAGAGCCTGGGCAGAGAAAAACCCATGTCAGCTTTAATTCGTTGACTTGGGGGGTTGGGGCTTTGGGGCAGCACCAAGAACCAGTCAAAACCCACAGGAAATTCTCTTCCTTGCCTTGCCCTCTTCCATCTGGCAGTCTGGCCTCTGCCCCTTGAGCCTACTGTCCTAAGCACCTTTGTGTTTGACATTCTACCCACACCTAAATTGTCTGGATCCTTTACATCATTCAAAAGCTGTTCATATGTCACCTCCACAAAGAGCCCTTGACTATCCAAAATGACATCTATCTCCGTCTCCTACTGTGCTTGGTTTTTCTTCACTGATTTGTTTACTCATTGATTCTATGTGTCAACTCTCTCTTTTTTGTTTGTTTGTTTTTTGTTTTTCGAGACAGGGTTTCGCTGTAGCTTTAGAGCCTGTCCTGGAACTAGCTCTTGTAGACCAGGCTGGCCTCAAAATCACAGAAATCCATGTGCCTCTGCCTCCAGAGTGCTCAGATTAAAGGCGTGCGCCACCACTTGGTTCTATGTGTCAGCTCTTAAGGGCAGGCACTTGGTTTGGTGCTAAATCCTTGGTGTTTACACAGTGCTGGAAACACTTGTCGTTTTGTGTGTTTGCATATGATATTTTGCCTGCATGTAAGGCTATGCACCTTGTATATGAACCCACAGAGACAAAAGAAGGCACCAGATTCCCTGGAACTAGAGTGGGTACTGGGAATTGAACCTGGGTCCTCAGGAAAAACAGAAAGCACTCTTAACCACTGAGCCATCTCTCCATACCCCTGTTAGTATTTACTGGTAGCTATAACTACAAAAGGAGGGGACAAAGCAGGGAAGACAACTCTAGACACAGGCCACCTTAACTGTGCCCCACTTACAGGATATAGGCAATGACCCCTATGGACCAGCAGTCCACGGCCTTGCTGTAGGGCTTCTGGGCCAGGACCTCAGGGGCTGTGAAGGGAAGGGGACATGGTGGTGACAAATGTCTGTCTTGTAGTTCCTAGCTTTTTCCTCACCCCCAGCCCTAACCTAGGGCCCTGCGCACCCACGTATCCTGGAGTCCCACAGGCTGTGGAGAGCACACTGCCTGGGTCCTCCATCTTGGAGAGGCCGAAGTCGGAGATCATGATTTTGGAGTCTTCATCCAGGCTGTAATACAGCAGGTTCTCTGGCTTGGAGGGTAGGAAAGAGGAGAAGGGGCGGTCAGAGGTAGCCAGAGACTGTCAGCGCTGTCTGCTTCTGCTAAGTCCATTAGAAGCTAGCTAGCGGGCAGTTGTGCAGGATCGAGAGTTCAGTGTGTTCTCGGCTAATGCTGAGTTCAAAGCCAGCCTGACATACACAAAACAAGTGGCAAAAGCCTGGATCCTAACTATTCCAGTGGGTGATTCAGGAAAATGCAAAGTCCAAGGCTCACCTTGACAACAGTCAGTTCAAGGCCATCCTGGGCCATTTAGAACTTACCTCAGAATAAAAAGTAAAAAGAGTCATGGAATAAGTGTGACAGGGAGGCAGAAGGGAGACTAACTGAAGAAGAAAGGGGAGGAGGGGACATGGGAGAGAAAGTATAGTGACACCTATGTATGAAGATGCCATGATGAAACTCATGACTTCGTGTGCTCACCTAAAAAACTAACAAGGGAAAAGCAGTGGGATAGAGAAAAGAGGCTGGGGCGGCATTTGGGCATGTAGGTAGAATGCTTGCCTGGCATCATACGTAGGGCCTAGGTAAGTAAGCAGTGCCAAAGAACCCAAGGAAATTCTCTAAAGGTCACAAGCTTTAAAAAGGAAGATTGTGGGAAGGATTTTCTTAGACCTCAGAAACCTTACAGAAATCCCCAGTGCTACCAAAAAAAAAAAGAAAAGAAATTCTTTTTTACCTCCTGTACTGGACCTTGAGTAAGTACCTGACTGATTTTAACCGTACCACATAACCAGCCTGGCCATTCGGAACAAACCAAACCCACTTTACAGATGAGTGATGAGTAAACTACTGCCTTAAGAGGCAGTGATTGTCCCAACAGTTGGGGCATGGCTACACTTTAGACCAAGCCTGTTGTATTCCAGATCCCTTTCATTCTGGACTGGAAGGTATTTCTTTTTCCCCCTTTCTTTCCCTTCCTTCCTTCCTGCCTTCCTGCCTTTTCTCCTTTCTTTCCTTCTTCCTTTCTTTCGTTTGTTTTGTGTGTGTGTGTGTGTGTGTGTGTGTGTCTTGGTTTTATTTTCTTTTTCTTTCTTTTTTTTTTTTTTTTTTTTTGAGACAGGGTTTCTCTGTGTAGCCATGGCTGTGCTGGAACTCACTCTGTAGAGCAGGCTGGTCTCAAACTCAGATCTGCCTGCTTCTGACTCCCAAGTGCGGGGATTAAAGGCAGGCACTGCCACACTTGGCTTGGACTGAAGTGTATTTTGGTGTAAGCCCCTATCCATCTTTCTGAAGCTTTGCTGTCCTGCTTGTTCCCTACAAAGAGCAAGTAGGGTCTTCATTATCAGAAAAGGACATGTATGTTGTTAAGGTAAAATAACAGTCCAGCCTACATTTTTTTGTCCCTGTCTGGTCTGGAATAAAGGAGTTGGCTTAGTAGGTCACAAGAAGTTCAGTTTGCAAATGGGAAACTGAGGCTCCAGTGAGGGGCTGAGAGATGCCCAAGGGCAGACAAGGTGAGTTAGCAGGGTTCACTAGGCCCCTCAGAGCTCACCTTGAGATCCCGATGCACGATGCCCAGGTCATGCAGGTACTTGACAGCATCCAGCACCTGGAAGATGAGGCGGCTGGCATCCCGTTCTGTGTAGAATCCTTTCTCCACAATGCGGTCA